GACTGTTGTCAGAGCTCCCTTTGCTGGCTACATTGGTAAGGTAGAAGGTCTTGAAGATCCCCTTCCAAGGGCCACAAAAGGCCTGAGGATTTCTCTGGACCTTGGCTCAGGTTGAAGAGGTGAGAGAAAACAGGCAGCCACTGGGGAAGTAGAAGAATTGAGAACTTGTTGAACTGGCTGTATTTGCTAAAGCTTCTGAGGCTCTATGCCTGGCGGTAGAAGGATGAATGGCTTTCCCTCAGAATCACCAACTTGAGCCTAATAATTGACACAGTGTGGGATAAAAAGTAAATAGAAACTGGGCACCACTGGCTTGCATCTGTAGTTCTAGTTACTCATGAAGCTGAGATATGTGGAATGCAGTTCAAAACCAGTGAAGGTCGAAAAGTCCAAGAGACTATATCCAATTAAAACAAGCTAAAGTATGGAACAAGTGGCAAAGTGCCAGCTTCAAGCAAAAAAAACAGGTGAGAACCTGATGCCCTAAGTTCAAGCCTTGGTCCTGGGTCCCAGAACAAAAGAAAAAGAAAAAAAGCAAGGGTTATGATATCTTGCATAGCTGTGATTGAAAGAAAAAGAAACCTGGAATTCACTAAGGTACAGTGGTCTTATTATGAGCCATGGACTTCAGAATCAATGTCACTAGGATTGTTGTGTATCCCTGAGCAAATTTCCTGACTTCTCATGCTGAGAGCTTTATAAAGTATAGCTTCTAATAGTACTATACCTGCCAAGTACACATCTGTAATCCTAGCTACGCAGGCAGCTGAGATCTAAGGATCACGGTTCAAAGCAAGCCAGGGCAAAAAACTGTGTGACACTCTTATCTCCCATAAACCACTCAGAAAAAGCTGAAGTGGTGCTGTGGCTCAAGTAGTAGAGTGCTAGCTCTTCCTGAGCACAAAGAGGCTTGGGGACAGAGCCCAGGCACTGAGTTCAAGCACCAGGATTGGGGGGTGGGGAAGGTGTTCTTCAGGAGAACCTAAAATCAGGTATTGAGTGTGTTTAGCATAATTCCGATGCCTTACACACAAGCAGGTGCTAAGAAATGGTAAGACTGCTCCAGAGACTTCCGGCCCACCCTACTTAGTCACCTGCAGAGACTTGACAGAATATGCTCTCCTTCTAGAAGTATCTGTATACACATCTGTACCACCCAGCTCTACTCCCTTCTGAAATGGGCAATATCCCAGGATTCCAGGTGAGGACATCTGTTAGCCCTGATGACCAGCACAAGCTCACAAGATACCATATGTCTGGGTGCCAAAAAACCAACCAATGATGGAAAAAGGGAGAGAAGAAGCAATCAGGGAGCTCCTGATTCCACACCTCTGTGATGGTTCACAAAGGCCTATTAGGCTTTGTGATATCCATGGGTATGCTATCACAAACTATACATGGGGGGCTGGGAAGGTGGTTTAGTGGTGGAGTGCTTGCCTAGCATGCATGAAACCCTGAGTTCAATTCCTCAGTACCACATAAACAGAAAAAGCCAGAAGGGATGCTGTGGCTCAGTGGTAGAGTGCTAGCCTGGAGCTAAAGAAGCTCAGGGACAGAGCCCAGGCCCTCAGTTCAAGCTCCAAGACTGGCAAAAAAACTATATGAGCTAAAATCTCTAAAAACAAAGCAAAAGCTATGTAAAGGCTAAGATAACATGCTTTAGAAAAGGACAAAATCTGGTTTGAAAAAATTTGTAGGAATAAATATATATGTGAGCAAAGAATGTGCAGTAAGAACTTAAGTTGAACATGCTTGGACAAGGATCTTTCTTTTTCTTTTCTTTTTTTTTCTGCTGGTACTGGGTCTTGAACTCAGGGCCTGGGTGCTGAGTTCTTTTGCTCTATTACTTGAGCCACAGCTCCACTTCCAGTTTTTTGGTGGCTAACTGGAGAAATGGGTAACAAAGACTACTGCCTCGGCTGGCTTTGAACCTGGATCCTTAGATCTCAGCCTACCAAGTCTCTAGGATTATAGGAATGAGACACCAGCACCAAGCTATGAGGTTATTCTTTTAAGTTTTTATTTATTTTTTATTTATTTACTTTTTTTTGGGGGGGCAGTCCCAGTCACTGTCCCTGAGCTTCTTTTGCTCAAGGTTAGCACTAACAATTGAGCCACAGTATCACTTCAAGCTTTTTCTGTTTATGTGGTACTGAAGAATCGAACCCAGAGCTTCATGCATGCTAGGCAAGCATTTTGCCACTAAGCCACATTCCCAGACCCTATGAGATTATTCTTTACAACAGGTGATGTAATACAAAGGATAAAGTCTATGCAGAGACTATACCATTTTATACTGGCATCAACAGATAGAAGGCAACCTCAGCAATGCCACCAGCTGGGAAGCCTTGTTATTGAAAATCATTTTTCAGGTTCCTGGTTCCTGGATCTTTGAAGTAAGGATGCAGAGTCAGATTGCCTCTTCTTTTTTTTTTTTGGTCAGTCCTGGGGCTTATACTTTGGGCCCAGGCACTGTCCCTCAGCTCATCAGCTCAAGGCTAGCAGCTCTACTACTTGAGCCACAGCACCACTTCTGGTTTTCTGCTGGTTTGTTGGAGATAATAGTCTCACAGACTTTCCTGCCCAGGCTGCCTTTGAACCGAGACCCTGAGATCTCAGCCTTCTAAGTAGCTAGGATTATAGGCATGAGCCACCAGCACCTGGCTAAGAAATGTACTTTTTTTTTTTTGGTCAGTTATGGGGCTTGTACTCTGGGCCTGGATGCTGTTCCACTGTTACTCAGCTCTTCAGCTCAAGGCAAGCGTGCCTCTCCTTCTGTCATGTGAATTATACGAACCCTTCTACCCCAGGAATTACTAGCAAAAAGGAAGCATCATGAATTCTCTCTCAGTTTGTGTGTGACACTAAACTCTTGAAACACTGCAACAACATGGGATCAAATGCAAAAGGCCTAAATGAAGTGGCAGAAAGATGACAGTTCCACCTCCAAAAAGGCAAATATTGGGTAATATGCTGAGAAATAAGCCATCCAGATACTCAAACTTGATGGTCTTTCTATATCAGCTACACGACAAGAAAAAAGCTGTATATCACAAGCCTTAGGTTTTATGTATAACTTCAGTTTTAGAGTACCAACTCGGCCAATACATCATGAGGATGAATTGGGAAACAAACCAGAAGCCCCTATCCTATTGCCTATAAAATCATCTTAACGCCTCTAAAACTCAAAAGAAAAGCAAAACAGGAAGAGAATGCTAGACTACATGCTAGGGCTTTTCAGCCAAGAATTGCAGAACTGGCATATGACCCAATACACAAAGGGTTTACACCAAATCCCAGGACCCAAATTCTTCAAGAAACAATAATGCAAATATCTAACATGAAAGGTTTCTGATACAAAGGGCAGCAGACATCTGGAATGCATCATAGCCAGAGTGGCAAAGGAAAAACAAACACCTCCAAGAAAGATTCAAAAGCCCTTTGAGGGTGATGAAATATGCTGTTACTAAGGATTGTTTGAGGTCCACTAATGATTTTTAGGTTAAAAACCAGACTGTAACTAAGCACCAATAACTCATTCATGCCTGTAATGCTAGCTATTCAGGAGACTAAGATCTGAGGACCCCAGTTCAAAACCAACTCAGGCAGGAAAGTCTGTGAGACTCTTATCTCCAACACTGGCTCAAGTGGTGGAGCCTTGAGTGAAGAAGCTATGGGACATCCAGGCTCCTGTTGCTCACACCTGTAATCCTAGCTACTCAGGAGGCTGAGATCTGAGGATCATAGTTCAAAGCCAGCCCAAGCAGGAAATTCCATGAGACTTATCGCCAATAAACCACTCAGAAAGCTGGAAGTGGGCTGGGAAGGTGGCTCAAGTGGTAGAGCGCTTGCCTTGCATGCATGAGGCCCTGGGTTCGATTCCTCAGCACCACATAAGCAAAAAGAAAAAAGCCGGAAGTGGGGCTGTGGCTCAAGTGGAGAGCGCTAGCCTTGAGCTGAAGAGCTGAGGGATAGCGACCAGGCCCAGAGTTCAGGCCCCACGACCGGACCCAAAAAAAAAAGAAAGAAAGAAAAGAAAAAAAAAAAAGAAAACTGGAAGTGGTGCTGTTGCTCAAGTGGTAGAGTGCTCGCTTTGAGCTGAAGAGGTGAGGGACGGTGCTGAGGCCCAGAGTTCAAGCCCCATGACTGGAAGGGGGGCAAGAAGCTATGGGACAGAGTGCCCAGGCTGTGAGTCCAAACTCCAGGACTGGCACACACGTGTGCATGTGTGCACATACACAGAAAAAAAAAAAACCAAAATACCCAGATTGAGCAGGCTATTCTCACATCTTTGTGCCTTTACCCTCACTCCCTGAGACAAGATAGGACCAAAAGAGCTATGGGGATCCCTAGAACAGTGCTGCTCTAGGCTCTGGACTGCCTCTTCATTTAGAAGCCAGAACAGCACTTTCTTCTGCCTACCTGGCTGGGAAGCATAATGTAGAACAAAGCAACCTTACCTCAGTCAGGCATACTTATTAAGGCTTCTAACAGCCAAATTTCAATTACTGAATGTGACCATATTACTGACTTCTGATGTCCTTAGACCCTCTCACCTTTTCCTCTAATACTATCTTTGAATACTAAAATATCTTTTAAAATCTAGTTAAAGATTCCTTTTTCCTCATTAATCAGGCTACTTCAAAATAAGTTTTCCTTTATTCTACAGGTTCCTAAGAAGGGGAGAGCTAATTGTGATACATAGCACCCTTATCTTTTCTCTATATACAGCGCCCTTCTGGCAGAATCCTAAAATAGCAGCAGTCGGATTAGCATGACTGTGAGTAGGTGCCTCGGTGAATAACATCAGAATTAATGAAAGGGCTGGACCCCTAACAGAGCCACCTGGTGGGCATAAACACCAGGGCTCTTTCCCTAAACCAAGTGCTCCCCGCCTCCCGAATCAAATGCTTCCCCTCACCCTTGGCTACCTCTGCTTCGATTAATCCCTCAGTCTGCAATGCTCCCAGGCCTGGAGGGCAAGAGCGCAGTAACCTCACCTTTTAGCAGGTCCGGGTGCACGTAGCCCAGCACATCTGAGACCCCCAACTCCTGGCGGGAACAGGTGCCTCCATGGATGTGCAACCAGGCGGGCTCCGCGAGAGCAGTGCATAGCGCTGTGATGGACAGGGCACCAGGCAGGGCCGAAGCCAGGCTCCGCTCGGGCTGCTTGGGCAGAGTGCTGCCCCCCGGGCTCCTCCGCCGGCGCCCGCCGGGCAGCCCAGAGCCTCCGGGGGCATACATGCCCGGGGCCGCCCGCCGTAGCTCTGTGGTCGCTGCTGATGGGCGCTGACCTTCGCCGGGCGCGCAGAGCCTGCCTGTCCCGGAGAGAGCAATGCACTGGGTGGCCAAAGCCCGGGCTGTCAGGACCGACACGAGGGTGGGGGGTTGGCCTGGGCTAAACAGATCGGAGGACTGCAGGGACTTGGGGGGCGGGGACGGAAGACTCAAGATTAGGGTGGAGGACTCAGAGGGCTGAGGGCTAGGTCGGGTCTGGGCAGATCAGAATGGCGGGGATACAAGGGATCGGTTACTGGAAGGGGGGGGAGGTGGCACCTGGACCCAGGTTCTTGGCCCGAGGGTGCCAAGGGACGGAGGACGCCGCTGGGCCGCAGGGATATGGGACCCGGGACCGGTACTTCGGGATGCGACCTGTGTAAAGAAAAGACCCTCTCCACTCGGGCACTCGCTCCTCACCGGTCAGCAGGCCTCAGAGCTGGATGGCGCCGCTCCGCCCCGTCACGGGCTCCTCAGCTACCCGGGGCCGAGCAATCCCAGGCCCCAATCCCGCAACGCCCAGACCGACCCCGGCCGATGCACTTCCGGCTTCCTCCTCCTCTGCCTCCGCCTCCTCCGGCTCCCGCCCCGTCCCCCTCCCCGCGTACGTCACACATTGCGCGCGCCGCCGGCTCCCTTCTCCGGGTCTTACGGAACTGGTAGTTCGAGGCGGTCCTGAGGCGCTCCCAGCTACAGGGCGGAGGGTAGCGACTACAACTCCCAGAAGGCTGCGCGGCCACAGCAGCGGGCGCTTCAGTTCCCAGGACGATCGGGGCGGAAGCTGGGTACTCCGGTGGCCGCAGCGGCGACAGGTTTGGTAGGACCCGCCGTCGGTACACTGACTCTTGCCTACCTCTTCCTCACCCAGTGCCGGCCACCATGAAAGACTCGCTGGTGCTGCTGAGCCGTGTCCCAGCGCACCCAGACTCCCGCTGCTGGTTCCTGGCCTGGAACCCCACGGGGACCCTGCTGGCCTCCTGTGGCGGCGACCGTAGAATCCGCATCTGGGGTACCGAGGGTAAGGTCGAGTGTAGTTTATCCTCTGGTGCCGAGGACTCCGCGCGCAAGCGTCGTGTTGAGTGACGTGGGAGAAGCGACTTTAGGGCGGGACCTGAGCCACCTTGAGAAGGGTTTGTCAGGGATGCAGTCTGTAAGTACCGGAAACGGCAGCAGTACATAGGCTGGGACCGTTGCGGGAGTTGGGATCCTTGCTGAGGCAGAGAAACGGGAACAGGAAGGTAACAGCCTACAGAGAAATTTGTGGCTTTTGGAAGTCATTGAAAGTTTTCTTTTAAAATAAATAAATTAGGAGAGTGACTTTTCTGATTTGTTTTAGAAAGGTGCTTCCAAAGGAAGTAGTCAGTGACATTATTATATGTTACTGAATACACCAATGAAATATGATCCCTAGGTTGGGCTCTAATTATATCCCTCGTGATTGAATGGCATTGATGGTACTTCAGTACCTTCCCATGCACCGAGCTCCACAGCCTGGCTTGTCCTCTACCTGTAGGTGACAGCTGGATCTGCAAGTCTGTCCTTTCTGAAGGCCACCAGCGTACTGTTCGGAAAGTTGCTTGGTCTCCCTGTGGGAATTACCTGGCCTCTGCCAGCTTTGATGCTACCACTTGTATTTGGAAGAAGAGCCAGGATGATTTTGAGGTAACCAGGCTGGATGAGACCTTGTCATTGTGGTTGCTTCCCAGGGCTGGCTTAGGAACTTGAGTCAACCTGGGCCAGCTGAGCTATACCTGTGGGAAGACTATATATATAGCCTTCACTTAAATTTTTGCACTGTGGAATTCATGACCCTAGATTTGGGTAAACTGTAGGAGTCTCAGCCACCATTAATTCTTATCCCTTTTCTTTTTCAGTGTGTAACCACTCTTGAGGGCCATGAAAATGAGGTGAAGTCAGTGGCTTGGGCCCCATCTGGCAACCTCTTGGCCACTTGCAGCCGAGATAAGAGTGTGTGGGTCTGGGAAGGTAAGTCCAGGTCCCTCATGATATTGATAACCAGCTCACAGAAACCCCTCTCTAAGTCCTTGACAGGTCACCTAGTCTGTTCCTTTCTTACATTCTCCTACAGTTGATGAAGAGGATGAATATGAATGTGTCAGTGTGCTCAACTCCCATACACAGGATGTCAAGCATGTGGTTTGGCATCCCACCCAGGAGGTAAGTTAAGAGAGGCCAAGGCCTGGCGCCAGTGGCTCATGCCTATAATCCTAGCTACTCAGGAGGCTGAGATCTGAGGATCATGGTTCAAAGCCAGCCTGGGCAGGAAAAGTCCGAGAGACTCTTATCTCCAATAAGCCACTCAGAAAACTGGAAGTGGTGCTGTGGCTTAAGTGGTAGAGCTCCCTCTTTGAGCTGAAGATCTGAGGGACAGTGCTCAGGCCCAGAGTTCAAGCCCCACAACAGACAAAAAAAAGGCCAAAGCCAAGCACCTGTGGCTTATGCCTATAATCCTAGCTATTCTGAAGGCTAAGATCTGAGGATAGAGGTTAGAAGCCAGCCTGGCCACATCAATCTATAAAACTCTTATCTCCGGGGGGGAGGGGGGAAAGGAGAAGGATTGGGATTGGGGGGGAGGGGGGAGGCTGGGAAGGGATGTGAAGGGTAAACAAAGGAGGAGGCTGCAATGCTTGGTAAGAAATGTACGCATTATCCTGCCCATGTAATTGTAACCCCTCTGTACAGTATGTTCACAAATAAAATTAAATTAAAAAAAAACAACTCTTATCTCCAGTTGAAGCAAAAAGCCAGAACTGGCTCAAATGGTAGATAGAGCTCTAACAAAAATAAAGCTGAGCAAGGGTGTAAGGCCCAGGTTCAAGCTCTAGTAGTGGCACATGCAAAAATGTTAGATTAGATTTGTTGATAGACAGGAACTCTGCTGTAGAAGCTTGTGTTAACTTCCCATCTTCTAAAGCCTGAAGCTGGTTTTTAAAGGACTCTATCTCTATGACTGAAAAGTCCCCTAATGTGGAAATTTAACAGTGAAATCCCTCTCTGTATAACATAAGCTAAAAAAAAATTTGTATTGGAAACAATTACTGCCTAGGCTATACAGACAAGTGCTGGGTCTCTTTCCTCTCCTCTTAACAGCTGTTAGCCTCTGCCAGCTATGATGACACAGTGAAGCTATACCAGGAAGAAGAAGATGACTGGGTCTGCTGTGCTACCCTTGAGGGCCATGAATCTACTGTATGGAGCTTAGCCTTTGACCCCAGTGGCCAGCGCCTGGCATCTTGCAGTGATGACCGTACTGTGCGCATTTGGCGCCAATATCTACCAGGGAACGAACAAGGTGAGTGTCCAATAGTAGAGCTAAATGACACTATTCCCCCATTAAAATATACTCTTTAGTCACAGCAAGTTAAAAATAACATGTCACCAGGCACTGGTGACTCACACCTGTAATCCTACTACTAAAGAGGCTGAGATCTGAGGATCGAGATTCAAAGCCAGCCTGGACAGAAAAGTTGCTGAGAGACTCTTATCTCCGATTAACCACTTGAAAATCAGAAGTGGAGCTGGGTGGGTGGCAGAGTGCTAGCTTTGAGCAAAAGAGCTCAGGGACAGTGCCAGGACCCTGAGTCCAAGCCCCATGACTGATAATAAATAAATAAAATGTGACATAAGGGGGCTTCAGATAAGAGTACTGGAAGAACCCAGACAGAGCATTTCATTCCAAATTTTAGAGAGTATGTAGGATTTTAACATAAGACAAGTTTGACACAAGATTCCCAGTAAAGGGGCTGGGAAGTAGCTCAGTGGTAGAATGCTTGCCTTGCATGCATGAGGCCCTGGATTCGATTCCTCAGCACCACATAAGCAGAAAAAGCTAGAAGTGGCACTGTGGCTCAAGTGGTATAGTGCTGGCCTTGAGCTGAAGAGCTGAGGGACAGCATGCAGGCCCAGAGTTCAAGCCCCACAACTGACCAAAAACAAACAAAAAATACAGAGCTCGTTTGATAATAACCTGCAGGAGAATGGGAGGCTTCTTTGAATTGTCTGCCATAGTGTGTGACATAGGAGGAGGATGGGGACAGAGGGTTGGAGATAAGGGCTCATGATTGTTTGAAGATGGGTTGAGGGAGGGGAGTAGCTACAAAACTATGTGCCCAGGACATAGGCAATGTCTTGGGCTTAAGAGAAGTCTGTCATGCAGGGGTGGCAACCGGCGGCACTGACCCCAGTTGGAAATGTATCTGCACTTTGTCTGGCTTCCACTCCAGGACCATTTACGATGTTGCTTGGTAAGACCTCCATTCCCCACATCTTACAGTAGAGATTTTAGAGATATAATGATCTTTGTATTATCACATGGGAATTGAGAAAAACTACCTCCATTTCTTCAGATCAAGTCTGTCTGAAGAGCTAGTTGGCCTGGGGTTTATAGGAGCTGATTTAGACTCAGTCCCAGGTCTGGGTTAAGATCCTAGGCATAAGCAATACAAACAAAAGAAAACAAAGATCCCAGGCTGAGCTGGGTGCCAGTGGCTCATGCCTGTAATCATAACTACTCAGGAGGCCGAGATCTGAAAATGGTGGTTTGAAGCCAGATGGGACAGTAAAAAAAGTCTTTGAGACTTTTACCTCTAATCATCAAAAAGCCAGAAGTAAAGTTGTGTCTTAAATAGTAGAGCTTTAGACTTGAGCATATAGCTAAGAGACAGTAACCAGGCTTTCTGCTCAAGCCCCAGTACCAGCATACATACACATGTACATGCACGTGCCTGCACACACACACACACACAAATCCCAGACCACTGTGAAGGTAGCACTAGCTTTAGGGTTCACATAGTATGGTATAGACCTGAGATGAGTGAATCTATAGATTGTAATTGAAGTCTTTAACGGCTTGGTAATAGCAACTTGACCACACTTAAGGAGGCTAAAAAAGCTGAGCCATTCATACAGGAGAGGAGATTAGCCGGCAGTTCTGGCCCTGAAAGTTGGATCTAGGAAACAATCCCAAACCATGAAAAAAAGTTCATGTGCATCAAATCATGTTAGCAAACATTTGGGAATAACATATATTTAACAAAAACGGGCTTAAAATATGACAAAATTAAAGTCTATTATATCCTTTTAAAAAAAAAAAAAAAAGGGTTGGGGCTGGGAATGTGGCTTAGTGATAAAGTGCTTGCCTAGCAAACATGAAGCCCTGGGTTCAATTCCTCAAGTACCACATAAACAGAAAAAGCCAGAAGTGGCCCTGTGGGTTAATCGGTAGAGTGCTAACCTTGAACAAAAGAAGCTCAACGCCTGAGTTTAAACCCCAGGACTGGCAAAAAGAAAAAAAAAGGTTAAGAATACTTCATGGCATGGGTATTACGCAAAGTGAGAAAAGTATAAGTCAGAATTGTATGAGGTTAATTATGTAGTTTAGATTATGGGAGTAGGGAGCTAGGAAAAGCACCTGAAGACTTAGGAGGCTGATGTTTGTGGCGCTTAAGCTCTTCAAGCAGGCACCCGTGGCTCATGCCTGTAATCCTAGCTACTCAGGAGGCTGAGATCTGGGGAACGAAGTTCAAAGACAGCCCAGGTAGGAAAGTTTGTGAGACTCTTATCTCCAGTGGTTAACTGGAAGTGGAAAACCAGAAGTGGAGTTGTGGCTCAAAGTGGTAGGACGCTCACCTTGAGCTGAAGAGCTCAGGGACAGCACCCAGGCCCAGAGTGCAAGCCTCACAACTGTCAAAACAAAAGAGAAAAAAGCTCTTCAACAGAAAACTTTTAGCTGAGGGCTGAAATCTGGGAACATGAAAGGCCAAGGACTAGAGAAATTTTACCTATTTAAGTTGTCTAGTTGGGGAAGCAGAGGGAACCTACATACCCACTCATGCATGTGTTCTTCCCAGGTGTCAGCTGACAGGTGCTCTGGCTACAGCTTGTGGGGATGATGCCATCCGAGTGTTTGAGGAGGATCCCAGCTCAGATCCACAGCAGCCTACCTTCTCCCTGACAGCCCATCTGAGTCAGGCCCATTCCCAGGATGTCAACTGTGTGGCTTGGAACCCCAAGGAACCCGGGCTTCTGGCTTCCTGCAGTGATGATGGAGAAGTGGCCTTCTGGAAGTATCATCGTCCTGAAGGCCTCTGACTTACAAGAGTTGTGTTTCCCTAGAAGATATCCCAAGACACTCTCAGTCCAAAGGAAGAACTAAAGATTTAACTTGGCTCATCTGTTCAGATTTAGGTAGAAATACAGAGTCACAGGACCATTTAGTTTTCCCTTCTTGACATAAGGGCCTCAGTACAACCACAAAACATTAGCACATTATTATGCCACAGACTGTACTTCCTATAGAGCACAGTGAATATAAGTATTTATAATTTGCTATATACATGTAGGAAAGGGTGTGTCTCAGACCTAAAATTGTAAACTTATGGATTATATTGCATCTGTATCCCAAGTCCTATTTCATAATATTCATCATGTGAATTGTCTGAGATAGATCTGCTTTCTCAATTTCTAGATAAATCCTTGCGTTTAAGACATTCAAAATTGAAGGATTGTTTTTTTTTCGGGGGGGGGCAGGGGAGATAGGTGACTGGATCAGAATAAAGGGTGTCCTCTGCTTTTTCCTAGATACCCTCATACACCTGTTTTATGCTATGATGGCAACTAGGAATATGAAAATTAAATGGGGAAAGAGGTCAAAAGGGAGATTATTATTAGTTACCATCCAAGTTTTTTAAAGGTGAGGGCAGACAAGTCTTCAAAAGTTTGTGGGGGCTGAGAAGGTGGCTCAGTGGTAGAGAGCTTGCCTCACATGCATGAGGCCCAGAAAAAGCCAGAAGTGGCGCTGTGGCTCAAGTGGTAGAGCACTAGCCTGGAGCTGAGGAGCTGAGGGACAGCTCCCAGGCCCAGAGTTAAGACCCTACGACTGACAAAATAAGTTTTTGTTCCTCTGTAGGACCACAGCATGAAGTACAACATGAATTTGTGGGTTTTTTGTTGTTGTTTTGCCAGTCTTGGAGCTTGAACTCAGGGCCTGGGCTCTGTCCTTGAGCTTCTTTTGCTCAAGGCTAGTGCTCTACCACTTGAGCCACAGCATCCCTTCTGGCTTTTTCTGTTTATGTGGTACTGAGGAATCAAACCCAGTGCTTCATGCATGCTAGGCAAGCACTCTACAACTAAGCCACATTCCCAGCCCCTGTGGTATTAAATGTTTAAGGCAAGCCCTTCCAAAACTGGAGATTTCCCATTGGGACCATGAAATACATGTACCAGCTACAGGCAGGGTTCCCCTGGCCGAGGGCAGCTGAGCAAGTTGGAAGCACTGGGCCACTGAGGGAAGGCTCTCCCACCCAGGAAGCACACCTAGTATGTGTGCTAGCCGCTGGTGAAGCGTCCCCTATTGGGAGCATGCGCTGCCTGCTGACAATCAGCACTCCCCTGTGGGAAGCCTCCGGAGCCACAAAATGCTTGCAAAGGCCTGCTGGTGGCGGGGCCCTTTCCCTTGAGAAACACCTATACAGAGACTTGAATCTAACCTTCCCAGCCCCCACTGAAGACTAGACCAAGTTCCTTTCAGCTAGCCTGAGACTGAGTGCATGTACAGGTGCTTGCTGGCCCAGGGACCCAGCCTACCCAGGGTGAACTAGCCCAGGCCAAACTTGGGCACAAACAGGCCAAGCTCTAGTCATGACCCTGACAATCCTGGAACCCAAATGTGAAAATCACAATGAAAGATACAAGATTTATGGACAATGAAGACAGCAAACCAAATCCAAAAGCCAACAACAATCCAGGGAAGGCCCCCAGTGAAAGTGAAGAGATGGAGGACAAAAGAACCATTAAAGAAATGGTAACAGCCAGGTGCCAGTGGCTCATGCTTGTAATCCTAGCTACTCAGGAAGCTGAGATCTGAGGGTTGCAGTTCCAAGCCAACCTGGGCAGGAAAGTCTATGAGACTCTTATCTCCAATTAACCACCAGAAAACTGCTGTGGCTGTGGCTCAGGGACAGTGCCCAGACTCAGAGTTCAAGCCCCACGACTGACTAGAAAAACAAAACAAAAAAACACATAGGCCTTCCCTATGACCCAGCCATACCACTCCTAGGCATCTAGCCTGAACCAGGATATGACAAGGACACCTACACCACATGTTCATTGCTGCACTATTCACAATAGCCAAGATAGGGAAACGACCCAGACGCCCCACAATAGATGAATGGATCTAAAAAATGTGGTACCTATATACAATGGAGTTTTACACAGCCATTAAAAAGGATAAAATAATGTCATTTGCAGGGAAATGGATGAAAATCATGTTGAACGAGGAAAGCCAAGATCAGAGAGACAAAGGGGGCTGGGGATGTGGCTTAGTGGTAATGTGCTTGCCTTGCATGCATGAAGCCCAGGGTTTGATTCCTCAGTACCACATAAACAGAAAAAGCCAGAAGTGGACCTGTGGCTCAAGTGGTAGAGTGCTAGCCTTGAGCAAAAGAAGCTCAGGGACAGTACTCAGGCCCTGAGTTCAAGCCCCAGGACTGGCAAAAAACAGACAAACGGTACGTGTTCTCCCTGATATGTGGAAGTTAGATTTAAAATGCAATGGGACAAATTATGTAGGATTCTAGACACTAACATACAGTGAGACCAAAGTTGTAATAACCAAGAGTCTCTTTATTATATATATAAATACATATTAAAACTTCAAAGATATGGAAACAAAAGGACCTTTTTCTTAAAAGGTATGGAAACAAAGAACCTTTTTCTTAATTGTTTTCTGATGACTATTCTTTCCTCATATATGGTTTATTCATGTGTACATCTGAGGGAAGGTGTGGGGGGAGGCACAGAGTCTGAGGAAAACAGGTGAAAAGTGCAGCAGTAGAGCTTACTGGTTGCACTGGACATAGATAAAAGTGAACCATCCAACTTGTAAATGGAGATAGGAGGAAGGGAATGGGAGAGAATAAGGGGAAGAGATGATACTATGCAAAAGGAAGGAAATGTACTTATTACCTGATGAATATAAGGTAACCACACTGTGTATCACCTCTAAAACAACAATAAAGCAATAAAAAAATTTTTCAAGGTGAGATGATTAGGAGAAAGTCTATTAGGCATACTGGAATGGCAATGAAAGAAGTTAAGAAGTATCCTTGAGCCTGGGCAAGTGCACAAGTCTTTTTAAAAGACTTGCACAAAGCTGATCAGTTTTGAGAGATCGTTAATGCCCTTGGTGGTTTTTGTGGGTGTGAAACAAATGGTGAGAATTTGAATTGGTCCCTCATTATATTATTGAAATTAAGTCTACTTAATATATCAAGTCATGTTCATGCCTTGATTTTATATACTTGTATCTATCAATAAACATTGTGATATCTGAAAAATAAAAAGAAGTGGTTTTCGATATGAGGGTTGTCCCCAAGCTATTTCTTCCATTTAATCTTCATACTGCAGAAATCATGACTATAAACCTGTCACTGAAAAAGTGGTGCTGTGGCTCAAGTGGTAGTAGAGCACTAGCCTTGAGCTAAAGAGCTGAGGGACAGTGCCCAGGCCCAGAGTTCAAGCCCCACGACCAACAAAAAAAGAAACAACAAAAAAAAAAACTGTCACTGGTTCATACCTGTGATCCTACTCAGGAGTCTGAGATGTGATTATCACAGTTCAAAGCCTGCAGGATAAGAAAGTCCATGATACTGTCATTTCTAATTAATTTTGCTGGTTAGCAAAAAACAACAGAAGTAGAGGAGTGGCGCATGTGTCACAGTGCCATCCTTGAGTGAAAATGCCAAGTGAAAGCATGGATGAGGCCCTAGCACCTAGAAAAGAAAATCGTGACCTTAGATTTTGGAAGACACTCAGAACAGTCTGTAAATCAGTGCTTCTCAAGGTAGATACCTGGGAGTCAGATCCATTTTGGGGAAGCACATGGCATTACATGGCATTATCGAAACTTTGGCACCCAACTAACCAGTAGTTGTAGTCATTACCTTGTACCAATAACAGAAATACTGCTGACTTCACTTAGACATGTATTTAATAGAAGCAATTAAAAAATGATTAAATGCTGACCCTTGAGAACACTTCTAATACACTGACAAGATGGGAAACACACATAAAGAACTTCTGCACACTGAAATACAGTTGTCTTAATTATACAGTTGAACAGTTGTGTTGCAAGCTGTATTAGTGATGTTCTTCATGGCATACCATTTTTGCTAGCAAATAATGCTGATTAGACTGGCTACTTCACTAGCATTTCCAGAAAAATGAACAGAATGAGCTTTTTGCTGGTTATATTCACCACTGTCAATGACAAAATGAAAGTTTACAAACCAAAATTATGATTTCTGAAAACTTGTATTGCCACTATGAGCTTTATTGATACTGACATTAACAAATGTGATTTGAATAATGAAATGCACCAATCTTTGGAAGGTCTACATAACCCAATAAAATCAAAATTTGCCAAATGGCCAATGCAATGGTGTTATAAAATTATTCATTGAAAATATAAGACAGAGCCTGATGCTCGTGGCTCAGTCCTGTAATCCTAGCTACTCAAAAAATTGTTGTCTGAAGATTGTGGTTTGAAGCCAGGGCAGAAAATCTAAGACTCTTTATTTCTGGCTAACCAACAAAAAGCCAGGCGTGGAACTGTGACCATGAGTGGAATAAGCTAAGCAAGAGTATAATAACCCTAAGTTCAAGCCCCAGTACCAAAAACAAAAGTACAAAACAGGCTGGTTTAATTTTAACAGCTCAAGGGCACATGAATGAGTTTACATGGATAAGGCAATCACGTTACCTTTAAGGAATTTTCATATAGTCTAAGATTAAAGAATAGCCATAACTACCTCAAAATGTTAAAAGCTTTCCAAACTTATTTGTGAGATGTTAATGACTTTAATTCAACCATACCCAACAGACTGAAAAGCTGCTGAGAAGCCTGAGTTGGATTTAGCCAGATCTTAAAAGTGATTGCAACCCTAACTTGTTACTCTTCTCCCTGGATTTTCTTTTCATAAAAGTTAACATAATGAGGTAGTATAGCTGGGCACTGGTGGTTCACACTACTCAGGAAGCTGAAATCTGAGGATCACGGTTCAAAGCCAGGGGAAGTCCATGAGACTCTTACCTCCAATAAACTATACAAAATCTGGAGCTGTGGCTCAAGTGGTAGACCACAATCCTTGAGCAAAAGAAGCCCAAGGACAGCACCCAGTCCAGTCCCTGAGTTAAAGCCCCTGGACTGGGGTGTGTGGCGGTGGGGAGAGTTGTTCCACTAATGAATAATAGCTCTTGGGGCTCTTGATTTCCTGTAGTAGCAAGGGTTTTAAGACCAAATCATTTACTGACTTACAAAAACTTCCTTTAAGAAATTACCTGAACGGTTTTCCATTTTGTGTACATCCCTAAAAAAACAACAGAAGGGATGTAAGGGCAATCTGGCTACAACATCTGTCACCTCATTGATCACCACGGTTGATCTGGGTATCTGGCCTGCTAGGCAGGTGTCCCCTTCCTCCCTTACCTG